TAAGATATAAATCTACTATTTTTTGTATTTTTTATGATTTTTTATGATTTTTTAGTATTAGAAAAATAATTAAGAAAACAAATAAAAAGAAAATAAGAAAATAAAATAAAATAGGGCCAGGGGTGCTGATAGCCTGCAAGGGGTTAGAAAGAAGAAAAAAAAGCCCAAATGAGGCCCAACGCCTGTCCAAGAAACAAAGTCAGAAAGCAAAAAATGTAAAAAAATCAAAAGGGTACCACTAGGGCTCGAACTCAGGTCCCAAAGGTTACAAGCGCACGCTTCTACCATCGGGGTGGCTATTTATCCGTTAACATAAGCAAAACAATAAATATATGATACAAAACGCGCCCTGATTTACACTTCATCTTCAACCTCCAGCCAGACCAACTGTAACCTGTTCATTTCTTAACAAAAACGAAAACTGTAAACATGAAACTTGTAGCAAATTTCCTCACGGTTTCAAAAATGTAAAGCATTAAAACTATAGATCAAAGATAAGCATGAATTTCATTGGCCCTAATCTAAACCCTAAAAATATCTGAAACTTCAATCTTAAAATTCTCTAAGCTCAAACAAAATTAATGGAAACTATGAACATGGTTAGCTTTAGGGCAATGATATCTACATGTTTCATTCACAAATAAATCATTGATGATGCCTGTATGGAAAGTTCCAAAGTTAGAAAACTTACCTTGCAAGAGGGTATCAGGTTTGAAGTTTGAGCAGCTTTCAGGGAGTTCCAATGGTTGGGTTAGCTTCCTCAAGTTCCCAGGAAGCTAATGGGATGCTTAGCTTGAGTTGAAAGTACCTGAGGAGTTCTGGAGAAGTCCAAGTGCAAAGCTCTGTTTTTGAAAATGGAGGATGGTGCTAATGGTGTTACAGTTCTGTAACAGGGTGTGGGATTAGTTCTAAATGATGTTTAGAAGCTTTAGAAACCAAAAGGCTTGAAAACGCACGAGGGAGTTATTAGTTTCAAGTTTTTGGTCAGTTTATGTGAAAATGGAGGTATGAGATGTGATTCTGAGTTCTAGGTGTTTTCAAGGATTGAGCATTCATGTATCTTGTGGAAAATGGTTTGTATATCTATAAGCAAAAGGATTGGAGTGCATTGGCAAGTCAGAAGTACAAGTCAAATGTTATTTGCTATGTTACTTGATTTTCAAGAAAAGTGGGAAATCCAAGTTTCAATGTGTAGTACAAGCATGAGCTGGGTGATTGTAAGTGTCTAAACCAGTTTCTTATGGGTTATGAGACTTTATGATCAGAAGATGATAAGTGCGAGGCTCAAGAACAAGTTTTGTGTAAAAAAGCACTTTATCAAAATGGCAATGTACACTTTCTTCCAAAAATGGATATAAAGCATGTCCATGCATTGAATGCTTGAAATGAGACCTCTAACAGCTGTGCAAGCAATTAATTATAGAGTGCCTAACAAGTTTGAGGCCTGCAAAGTAGAGTTTATGCAACATAACTTTGAATTTGAATTTTGTTCATCATAAAATGCCTTGTAATTCAAGTGATAAAACCCTAACTTCATCTCTTCGATTCTCTCTACTCAAGAATAATCTCAAGGAGTTCTTGGACATTTTGGAAAACTTGTAATGTTCTCTATAACCTATATTTGAATTTCTTTTGAAGATTCCCCTTGGAACTATATGAAAAAGTGCCATAAAGTTGGGTCAAAATCTTGACCAAATTAGGGCAAAATTTCACTTAGTGTTTTGTTTAAAGACCACATGTTCTTAAAATTATAACTTGAGATCCAAGCACTTTTGTAAGAAGTTGTATGAAGAAAAGTTGTATATTTCATGGATATATACAACTTTCATGTTGGAAGTTTCTTTTGAATCAACTTGCATCATGGTGAAAATTTTGCTCAAAGTTATGAAAAAATAAGAAATTTTCAACACTTAGAAAAATTTCTAAGTTTAGAAATTTTGACTTTTCAAAATGAAATCTTAACTTTTGGATTTCTTGATGAATAAGTTTCATATTTTGACATGTTTTGATGAATTCTGATCTTTGGCATTTTTTGATGAATTTGACCAAAAAGTCAAAGCTTGACTTTTCAGTATATAGTTGTCTTTTGATCAGTTGATTGAAAATTCATCTGTCAATCCAATAGACTTGAGCAATATTTTGAGCCATGTCATTAGGTCAAAATGATGCAATTGGACTCTTGATATCATGTCTTAAACCAATTAATTATTTGCTAGGTCAAAAATCAGAAATTGCCCTTTCCCAGTCAAAACCCTAATTTTGACCATTTTGCCCTTTTGAGATTTGATCAAATTTCTTGAGGAATTATGGTCCAAACTTGATAAAATAATATATATGAGTTTAAAATGTTGATGTGGATAAAAAATTATGAGGTTTGACTGTAAATTGGTCATGGTTGACTTTTTCCCTAATACAACTAATTTTTAGGTCAACTGCTCAATTGACTGAGCAAAAGTGTGATTCAAAGCCTGAAACTTGACATGAGTAATCTTGAGGGTCTATAATGATCCATGAAAGTCATATGGGACATTGAAAGTTCAAATATCCTTGTGAAAACTCAAACCCTAATTTTGGTCATCAGTGTTTAAGGAGGCGTCTTGAGCTGATCAAACCCTAGTGCAGTCTTGAGCCAAAGGAGATCTTGTGAGAAAATTCTTGATAAGTGAGAGGGCAAATTTTGGGGTACAACACAAGTGAATAATATAATCTTTATTTCCTTATTATTCTCTCTTTCTCTCATCACTAAAAGTGTCTCACACACGAACACAAAGTTTATATAATATATAAAAACTCCCGCACTAACACAAAGTTTATATAATATATCAAAACTCCATGGTGTGAACGCGGCCTTAAAATGTTCAGGGGATGAAGTTGCACTCTTTGGTGTGAACGTGATCTGCTACTGAGCACAAACTATGTAGTGTGGTGCCTCTTCTTATTTTTGCATGTAGGCATCACACAAAGTGGCCACACCTCTGTGTGACAATTTTTTTAATAAAAATGATTAGTTTAAAAAAATTATTTGAAATAACGGTTATCTAGGATTTGTTTTTGGAAAAAAGTGGTTATTTGAAAAAAAATCTCAATTGGTGAGATTAGGGTGTCCACTGATCCAAAACCCATTGTCTGGTAAACCCGTATTACTCGTTACCCTTTTTGTCAGCGACTTTTGTCGAACCTAATACAAGTACTATTACTATTAAAAAACACTTTCACAAAATTTCGGGACACAAATTTTAGTAAACACTACTAAAGGACCCGTGCGTTCGCAAGGGTCACGTAAAGTCGATATAAATATTAAATAAAAATTATATAGTTATGGTTAAGAAATGTATATAAAAATATACACAAATTAAAAGAAAAAAGCTTTAAATAATGATTATCACATAAATTTTAATTTAATTTATTAAGTTGTAGTAGTTGTTAAGATATACATAAAAATTATGTTGAAAAATATGAATATATGGTCTAGTACACTTCACACACATATATAAAATTGATTATCTACCTGTGTGTTTGCATGGTTGTGCAATATCATTATAAATAACAAATAAATATAATATAATAATGGTTAAGAAATATATATAAAAGATATACAAATTAAATAGTGTTGACACGTCAAAAATGTATATTTTAGTAGCTTAAGATATGTAAGATATTCCTTAATAGAATAATAATCAGAATAAAAAACATTAAAAAAAAATTTAAATTAAAACAAAGAATGAGCCTAAAGAATGTTATAAGGCCCACCAAAATTAGAGAGGGCTAGGAATTCCTAATTATTAAAAAAGGAAAAGGGTAAAGAGAAAAACATTAAATCAATTACTCAATGACCAATTAAAAACAAGATATGTATAATAAACCACACGATCTGTCTGCCACGCTTCTATTTTTTCATCTCTGTATTCACCGTCTATTCCTTCTCATCTCTGTTTCTCTTTTCATCTTTCTCTCATTGTTCTCAAACTCACTCTCTCACTCTCTGTTCTTTCTAAATCTCATGAAAACAAACAACAACAATCCTGCTTTCATTCTACTCGATTCCTTATCATGTTTTCACAGTTCCAATTTCGTTTGCATAACCTCAAAACTCCCAACTCTCAAAACTTGGCCTCTCCCTGCTCCGATCCAAACTCTTCATCTCTCGTAAGTCGCTTATTATGATTCTGTTTCAATAATTATCACTCTGTTTCGACTCTGTTCGATTACAAAGTTTTTACAGATTTGATTTCAATTTTATTCACGATTAACAACAGATTCAGTGGCTTGGCTTGGTGATGATACAAAAACAACAACAACACAGTTAAGCAGTGGCTTGGTGATGATACGAGAACAACAACAACATAGTTAAGCGGTGACTTGGTGATGATACGAGAACAACATCAACAACACAATTAAGTTCAAACAAACATCAACAACAATATTTTCATAAAATTCACGGTAAAACCAAACACTGACTCACAGTTAAATTCCATTATCACAAGAAAAACAACAATCAATCAACACAACAACACATAGATTCGTAGCTTGAACAAGACAAAATCTAGAAAATAAATTGAAAAATCTTCGCAGATAAACTCTTCTCATATACTTCTATTCTTGTGTCTAGAATCAAAAGTGTTTATAAAAACTCTCTAATAATACAAATCAATTTGTTTAATAATTTATTTTTAATCTTCTACGATCTATAATAATAATATAATAAGCATATATGTCATGGAAAAGACATTAATGTCCATCACTATTAGTCTACTATATATCAAATGTGTCAAATTATACTACTATTTATTATTATTTTTTATTTTATTAATTATTATTACGTTTGCAAATTATCTATACCGTCTTTTAAAATTAAATCTCATTAAAATTTTGAAAGAATATCAAATCAATTTTGATAACATATTACTAGACTTCTTTGCTTCCAAACCAGTGGGCAATTACTCGAAAACAATAAACACTTCTTTGCTTCCAAAGCAGTCGGCAATTACTCGAAAACAAACATGGCGGAAAGCTCCTCGGCTCCGGCTCCACCCCCTCCCAAACCCGTCGTTGTTAGGGTCAAACGAAAACCCTTCCATTCTCCACTCGACGCTTTCTGTAACCATCCCTTTCATCACTCTCCTTTTATTTTTCTCATTCTCATTTAATAACCCTATTATGCTTTTTGCATCTCAATCTAGGGTTGGAAATCAACGACAGGCCATTCAAACGCCCTCTCTTGGATTTTGGAAATTTATCAATCTCCGATTCTTCTCAACACGGTATGTTTTCTTTTTCTTTTTTCCCTCAATTTCGTTTCTGTATGTTCGGTTGATTATTGGTATGAGGATTTTATTCTTGCTAGACTTGAGAGATTCAAGAGCTGAAAACTGATGGAATGTTTTGTTTTTGAATGTGTTTAATTTTATGTCCGACTCATGCTATAATTGCTCCCTTTCTTTTCAGTGGAAATTCATAACAAGAAGCTTTTGGTGCAACATGTGGAGACAATAACCAGCTCTGAGGTCACTTTAGATATTGTGCAGTCATTTGTGGTCAGTATCCCATCTAGATCATCATATACAAGTGTTTGTTTTTCAGTTTAAACTCTCCCATTTCATGCCAATTTGCTCTCCATTTATAACATTTTGTCTCATTGTTGCAATAGGTGCCAAATTTTAATCATCATTGTGCTATGTTTTTGACAAATAGAACATATTAACACATTGTCAATTGACTTTTCTTTCAAGGATCCTGGTTCTAAAAGTGCTTCTGAATCTAAGACAAAAGTTGAGGAAAGGAAGAACTTCTTCAAAAAAGTCAATGTAAGCCCTTTTTTCTAGACTTCTCTCCCTCTCATTCTTGTGCATCTGCACAGACACTGTGTGATGCTCAAGGCCATCAATCTGCCCTCATTCCCAATTGTTTTATCACAAACATGTTTCCCATTTCTAATCGCGTTGTCTCTCACCATTTCCTATTTTTCATGTCCACAGAAGCAAGATCAGCTCTTGTGTAAAGCTAAACAAGAAAAAGAGGTTTGCTACATGCCCTTATATTTTTCTTCTATTTGTCTGCAGAATTGCATTTTATTTTATTTTGCTAGTTGCTTATAATTAAATTTATCTTGAATCTTTGATATCAAATTAAAGTACATAAATTTACCTTTTTTGAATACACAGTATTTTCTTCTTAAAAATAGTTTTCAAAGTTGATTTATAAAAGTTTCCAAAAACTAAAAAACAAAACACAATAGTACTCCCTCCACTTCATGATAAGTGTCACTTTTGCAAAAAATATTTATCTCAAAATGAGTGTTATTTTCCATTTTCAAAGTAATATTAATTACCCATTTATCAATTGAACCCTCCATTAATACTCAGCGCTACTCTCCCAAATCATCTCCACAATACATTAATAATAATGATGAATACGCTATGTTTTTTTTTTAAACAATGAATACACTATGCTTAAAAAGGTTAATTTGATAAATTATTGTTTTTTTTCTTTAATTTATAACTTCTCTTTAAATTTTGTGAAATACGCTTAGTATGGCTCTCATATGTTAAGATGGTATGGTACTCATATGTTCAGATTGAAGGAATATGATGAAATGAGATGGAATGGAATGAAATGAAATAAGTTTACGTTCCATTGTTTGGATTGATAAAAAAAGGAAATGGAGCGGGACACGATGAAATGCATTCCATCCTATTCCATCACTTCTCTTCATTTTTATTCCATCATAGAATATTCAAACAATGGAATGAAATCTTTCTTCTGCTCCATTCCACTTCGTTCTGCTCCGCTCTATAGATAATGAGAATGAGGGAGTGATATTTAAACATTGAAGTAGTTTGCGAGAGGTTTCCTTCCAGCAAAGCTTTATATGTCTAATTCTTTCTCGCAGTCTTCAGCGAAAGAGGCTCGTTTTGAGCAAATATGGAAGAGCAGGAAAGTAAACAAGGGGACATCTGATGAAAATGCATTACAAGAAATATGCCAGTTCTATGACATTGTTCGTGTTGACTCTGAAGAACAAATTAAGAAGGCGCAACACGAGTAAGTATTTCCTCAAAGTTTGTTTGTTATCTTTGTAAATGCATAACACTAGCAGTAAGTATTTATGTAATTAACGACTAGAAATCACTATAACTTAGTTATTTATGTTCTCTTCAATAGTTAATGATCCTCTTATTACATTCTTTTCATTCAAAAGTGTTTTTTAAAAACAAATTCACATCAATATTAAAATCATAAAAAAAGGTAGGGGAACATAAATAACAAAAAAAAAAAGAAAGTATAAATAACAAAGTTGGGCAACATAAAAACATTTTCAATTACAAGCATTAATGAGTGGCTTGATTATAAGTTTGTTGTACATCAAAGATATTTGAAAGTAATAATCCATTTTAAATCTGTATCTATATTCTTTTAATTTATATACACATGACAATGCTATGAAATGAAGTGAAACACATTGAAATACCATGACGCAGCAAAGATCAAAAGATTGAGAATGAAAATTTGGTGTTGAAGAGATGGCTCAAGATGGTTTCTAACAAGAGAAACTAGAGATCCAGATCTTTAGTGATTATTAGGCACAGACCAACCAGAAGCAACATTAGAACAAGCTACAAACCCACTTTAGTTTCTAATGAAAGGACCAAAACCAGAAACAATACTAGTACCGTTTGATGATAATGTACCATACCTCAAAGGAACATTGTCTCTACTACTGAAGTGTCACCGAAGAAGTTGATGTTGATCAACGCGAACACCATAAGCTTTAGCCATTTTAGTGTTATTCTTCTTCACAACTTTGTGGGACTGGACACTGAAAAATGTTTCTTATATACTCCCTCTGTCCCAAAATAAGTAATTTGTCACAAAATACTTGTCACTTTAGATTACCAATGCAAATTTATATTTAATCTTTTAATTGTACCCTCTAATAAATACTCTTAATGTATTGTTTTCTCACTTAACATTAATGTTAATTTGAATACACCAATAATTAATCAGAATAATTTGGTAAAATCAATATTCTCTCTCTCTTTTATTTATTACTCTTTCTTAATCTGTGTGAAATGGTCAACTGCGACAAATAATATGGGACGGAGGGAGTACAAAGGACAGGAGAAGAAATTATCTTAACCTAATTTTTTTAGATCTATATGGGTGTACATGGGCTTGAACAATTGATGAAAAGATGGTTATTTATTTAAGATTTGAATTAGTAAAAATATCTTCAATAAACAAGGAAAGATATATTGTGAATCGGGTCATTGTTATTTATTTACTGTGTAAATACTTACTCCTGTTGCTATATAAACAAGGAGGATTGTTATTTATTGTCACAGAAAATACACCTAACCTGTGATTAATGCAGAGATATCTCCTTGGAGGATCAAAATCTTTTGTCTAGTTTCCTCCCTTTACTAAGAGAGGTTATTCCTAATGCTGCTGCAGAGATTGAAGTTGATATAAGTGCTCATTCCAAACAAGGTTGTTGTTTAATTGCGATTACCATTAAATTGCTACTGATTTTGCTACTTTTTCTCAAGTTGCATTTATTTAAATAATTGACGTTTTCTGGGTCAATAAAGATAAATAAATTTTGGAGTTACCTTGGGGCATTTTATGATGTTATATTTTTTTTTATCAAGAGTTGTATTAAATGATTTGAAATTATTGTTGTTGCTGACCTATTCTCTTATATCTAAACTCTTACTTATTTTAGAGATTATGTAAACTGTTCCTATTTACATATGGTTATGGTGCATTGTCTTATGTAACATATACAGAGGACTATGTTTATGATCTCTACACTGTATCGGACGAGACGATCAATGAAGAAAGTTCTTCACATTCTTATCCACTGTAAGTATTTTCTCTATATATGTTGAATATGGATTCTTACTCTTTCTACTTGACATTGCTGTGTATTGCTGACTTAGTGTTCAAGTTGATGATGAAGATTATTGTGACGGGCCTGGCGATTCGGATTATGAATCTGACGATTCAAATGGTATTTCCCAATGTCTTTTCTCATCTTCACCCTTATTGAAGATCACTATTGATTGAAAACTCATTTACACTGGTCAATTTTAGATGAAAACCATCCAATGAATGACTATCCAGAGGAGATTTCGGAAGATGATGAAGGTTCTGATTGTGAATCAAATGAAAGCGAGCATAGCAAATCTAGTAGTGAATTGTCAGATGATCGCGAGGATGGGGATGACGACGAGGATGGGGATGATGGACATGGTTTTGCTAAAGGTGGTATTTCTGATCCATTGTATGATGAGGATTTTGATGATTATGACGGTCAAGGTGTAGACACTGACGACGATGATGATCCGGATAATGAATACTCGAAGTGGTCTTACAGATGAAGGTATCAGATTATTCATAAAATCCTACAAAAAAATGTTTGCTTCTAAATTGTAGTTGATGAAGTTTTGCATTTCTTAGTTTGTTGACTTGACTGTGTCACCAGGGTTGGGATTATTCTGTCCAATTAGTAATTTGAATACAATCCTGGATATCTCTTAAAAAAGCATCTTAAAAATATTTCAGATTGTATATGATTCTCTCTAGACTAAAAGGAGTGTGGATATGATATATGATATAATATGAAATACTAACATGAAGTTACTCCTTCCGATGTCGTTTATAAAAAATGGTAAATTTTAGATTGCCTTTGTTAAACTGTGGGTAAGTTATCTACTATCAATAAAAATGAAGCACGTGTATTTTATTAATTTCTTTTATTAGAACTCTATGGTGGATTGTCTGTAATTTATCCATTAATTTTTTTATGATTCATTGACATTAGATGTAAGTTTAAAAGACTTATATTAAATCTCAATCGTTAACAATATTCGATTAAACGTTCATATAAATAGTCAATTTTTTAGAAAAAAGAATGAATCATATATTACTGTTTAACAATCACTTTAATGGTTGAGATTTGAGACTTACACATGGTGTTAGTGAATCCTAATTAGTCAAAAATGGATATCGCTGATCTTGCCCCTCATGCTCCTACAGTTTGCTTACCGAGGAATAAAAAGGGAGGACCGGGGGCTAGAGGTAGTTGGGTTGGGGAATAGAGTTGTAAGCACAGCGAGGGGATTACCGAGGACATGCTCGTATAGTTGTCATAATATTCTATTCAGGACCATGTTTTTAGTCAAATTATTAATATCGAGATCTTTTTTAATAACTTCTCTCATGTTTTTCAGGTCTTTATCTCTAATTATTTGACTCCTCTTCATGTGATATATTTTTCTTATTGCAGAATCTACATGCTCAAACCACTTCACCATATTTTTTTTACTATGTCAATAGGTGCTACCCCAAACTCTATAATATTGTCATGTCTAATCTTATCATGTCTAATCTTATCAAACATCAAACACAACATCTTCATCTCTATTGCATTTACTTTATTTTCGTGTTGATTTTTAAGTGCTCAATATTCTGTCCATACAATATTGCAGGTCTTGCTACAGTCCGATAAAATCCCCCCCTTAACTTGGTACCTTTCTATAACATAGCTTTAAAGCACTCTTCCATTTCAATCACCCAACTTGAATTAGATGGTTTACATCATCTTCTATTTCTCTATCGTTTTATATTATGGTCCTAAAATATTTAAACTGCGTGACTTGTAGGATGATATGGTCTCCATTTTGACCTCTAGGTTAGAAAAACTTCTCCTTTTGCTGAACTCAGATCCCATATATTCTGTCTTACTTTTGCTTAGGCGAAAATCACGTGTTTCTAAAATTCGTCTTCAAGTCTCCAACTCTCATTTAAATTATCTTTCAAATCTCAAAGTAAGACTATATCATCTGCAAAAAATATGCATCTTGGTGCTAACTCTTTGATGTCGGTACATCCAAAATAAAAAGATAGGGACTTAGAGTTGAACCTTGATGTGAACCTATTATAATAGGGAAGTCGTCCGTCTCCCCACCTTGTGTTTTCATACTTGTCGATACTCCTTCATACATATCTGGGATAATTCGAATATATGCAATGCTAACCCCTTTCTTTCCTATGACTTTCCATAAAAATTTTAGACACTATCATACGTCATGTCTAAGTCAATAAAAATTAAGAGTAATTCTTGTTGGTCTATCTAATGTTGCTTAATCACTCGTCTTAACAGATATATCGTTTTCATGGTGTCATACCCTAATTTTTGACATCATTGCATAACAAGTGTTCACGAGTGGTTTGACCTATTTTTTTTTGCCAATTCTTGAGTTAGATCTCAAAAATTTATAATTTTTCAAATTCCGACATTTTTGAGCGGTTCTTTTTGCATATGATTCTCCTTGACATCATCTACAATTTCTCTTTACAAGTCAATAGCTGATTATGCTTTGAAATGCCACAAAAAATAGAAACGTTAGAAATCGTTTATGAATTTAGTAGAATTTGATTTTTATTATTTTATTCATGATTTCTTTTCCATTTAAAAAAATCACAAAAAAAATATACTTAGCATCATGTTATTTTTTATTTACTATTTTTACCTCTTTACTAAAAAATTATCAAGAAAATGTTCTTTTATTAATTTAAATTTATATATTGGTACCATTTATTACAAAAAAAATCTAGAAAAATTTATATAAGTCTTTTTACTTTCTTATATGTATTTTAGTTTTTATTTTTTAATTTGCACTTATATTTTCATTTATTTTAATTCAAGAAAAAAAATCATAAATAGTTAATTTAATGTCTCTTTTATTTTCTATTTTTGTATTTATTATTATTAATAACACTTTTAATTGTTATTATTATTATTATTATTATTACTTTGTCCTTTTGTTTTTTTTGTCAATAAAGAAAAGTTAGGACCACTATAATGTAGTACAAACACTTCACATAGATTGACAACGTGTACTTATCAATGGCCAAGAATCATTCTCACACTTCACATGAATTGTCAATTTGGACTTATCAATGGCCAAGAACCATTCTCATAAAATCACATGGATTGCTACATCAATACTCCCACCCCATTCACCCTATAAATAAGACCTTTCTTTCATTTGGAAAAACAATACCATAAATCATTCACTAAACTAAGTCAAAACTCTCTTCTTTTTCTCTCTCTTCATTTTCTTTCAAGTCATTTCTTTCTTTTATTGAATAAGTAGGTTATTATACTTGTTCTTTATTTAATTCTATGGCATTGTTACTATTTATTTATTTATTTATTTATTTATTTAGTACCATAATTATCACCATTTTAGAAGGAAACTTCATTGATTCAAAATAAGAGTTGAAAAGTGTTCTTGAACCTCTAAAAGCAAAAGTGACTTAATGTTGTTTAATTTTCATTTTTTTTTGTAATTTTTTGTTGTTTATTTACTTATTTTGAGTATGGATCCTTGGTCGTGAGATTGAGTAGATAAACTTTCATTATTCATTTATTTAATTTCATGAAAAATTGAGAAAGTTATGACATTTATACTATTTTTTTATAGATTTCATTTTATTCTTCTTTATCTATTTTATTTTTATTTTTATTTGGATCAATTTGGAAAGTATTTGAGTTTTTTTTAAATTCATCTAAGCTTGTCGGATATTTGATGAACTTTCATCATTTTCAATCTACCTCTAAATGGTCCTTTGATCATTCAAGATACTTGAGATTGATGATAATTTGGTCATAATGTATCTTCCTTAACTTTGTCTTGCTCCTCCATGTTTGTTAATTGTACTACATGTATAAGAGAATGAACTTTAAAGTATCATTTCTCTAACATGTATGAGTACATACATTATATGCTCCATATGAAGTTACACTTATCCCAAATCAGATTATTAACTTTATATTGTACTAACTTTACTTTAATATCATTTATATTTCCGCACTTTATATTTTCTTCTCTTTACTTTTATGCATTTATCATCCATAATATTTTTTTAATACATTTTTTCTTTGCTCACTTGAGCATTTATCTTCTCTTTGCTCATTTAAGCTTCTTATTTTCTTTTGCTTGTTATAAGCCACTTAATAAAGAAAAAAAAATCTAAAATTAGTTCTTTAATCCTTGGACTATGGTTACTATCCATTTTTATCTAATGCGTGATTCTTGTCTGGTCTTCATAGATTATTATCTTTGTGTTTGAATCCAAGGGAAAAGATTAATTCGTTGACTTCGTGTCATTGAGTGTATCTTATATGATTGTGCGAATTTCTTCATCCATCTTTAAGTTTTGCTAATCTTAAGTTATATCTCCAAAAATTTCATTTTTTAAACTCACACCTCTTTTAAGCCAAAAACTTCGACATTAGGACGTCGCATTTTCGAAATCTCATCCCCACATTCATTTAGAAACCAAATCAATTTTAACCAAAAAACACATATTTCAAAAGGTTCCTATAGGATACTATAGATACATAGAGTGCTAGTATCTTCCCTTTGTATAACCAACCCCCGAACCTCCGATCTCTTTCAAATGCATTGTATTTTTCTTTACTTTTAGTATCGCACTTACTTTTCATATTTACGGGTTTTATTTCGCACTTTTCCCCCTTCCCTTGGAAATAATAAAGCGTGGTGGCGACTCTTGCTTATTTGTGAGTCAAGTTAACTAATAGATTGATCTCTGATTTTCACCGCTACACAATTGGCGACTCTGCTGGGGACAAAATTTTCTAAGTAGGTTAAACCTAATTTGCTATATCTGTTTTTGTTATTATTTGTTGTTTGCTTATATGTGTTATTTTGTGGTTTCTTTGGGTGTTGATTACAACGGACAAGTCCTATACCCGGACTAAGTACACTTAAGATAGGACAGACGGTATAATCATGTTAACTTTGAGGGAGTAATCTCGAAAAAGGAGGCATGAAATCCCCCAATCAGTGGAGGCCCCTTTGACTGTAGTATTTGTTTACCGAGTAATCAGGACGACATTGCTGCTTTTGACCTGTGAGCCAGAGAAGCTGAGAGCCGTAGAACCCTTAATCCATCTTGGCTTTTTAGATGTAGTACGAAGACTATGACAGAGTAATCTGGAAGTAGTTGTCACGCGATGCTGCACTCAGACGATTTTTTCCTGCGAATATTACTAATTACCGAGTAATTGAGACGTTGGTAATATCCAAAGGAAAGATGTAGACTCTGGGAACCTTTTAGAACCTTGTTCGGCAGGTGATAAACCCTTAGTACATACCTTGCGGGTTGATTCTCACCCTTTGACTCCATGTTCGTGATGTTAAACTTTTGAACCTTGTATGTGTTTGTTGCATAGCTATACATTCATGCATTCATAAACATCATGACATGCTTGTGACATACGTGGTCATTTCATTTCTAGAGAAATTTATCTTTGATTCTCGTATCAAGCTTATTACTCATAAAGGGA